AAAATCGCAGAAGTGATGCAGGCGACAGGAAGTACACAGCAAGGGCATTGGGGGTCTTGAAGGAACATCGCCCACCAAGTTTCAGACAAAAATCTTCCGTTGAAAAATGATTGTCGTCTGTTTTGGTCAAACCTTGAAAATCAAATTGTAACACAAGATGGAACACTCAGAGGATGGGTTGTGGATGACTCTCAGCTACTATCACATCAATTTTTACCTCAGTCGCTCTTAAGCGACGGGCGATAATGAGGCTCCCAGTCACCATCACAAGTGTCCATCTGTTTTTATTTGAAATGTCACACATAAAGCTCTTCTGGTCCTCTTTCAAAAGCATAATTTAAATGAATTACAAGTTGAAAAAGACCTGAGTCACACAAACACTTTCAGTCATACACCAAGGGCCTCATTAATGCCCCTTTGGTCCCAGCTTGTCATCCAGTAAACAAAATGCTCTCTAGTCCCTTCGAGTTGCCACAATCAGGCCATAGAAAGAATAGAAGAGTGTGAAACAACAGTTATCACCATAAAACTTCACTCATGTTACCTCATAAAAAAGAAAGCGCTGAATTTCAGAGGTGTTTTAGCTCTGCTGCATTTCATTCAGAATGCTTTAACGCTTGTTCAACATTAATGCTTTAGTAAATAATGAGTCATTACGAGGACGTTTTGAAGATGATCCAGGATGTTTTAACCCCACCTACATTATAAAAAAAGTTTGCTGCAACTGATTAAGAAAGTTTAGTCCGTGAGAAGGAAGCATCCTCTGTTGCTGATGATGCATTAGAGCCCAGCTAGGCGTAACAGTAACATTGTACATCCTGTTCCCAATTCTCTAGAAACCGGACTGGAACAGGGGGAAGGACCAAAGCACTTTGCCTTCACGGATTAGTTGCAAACAAAAACGTTTCCATGGAACGATTTAGGAAAACACAAGGCTCCAGTTCACCGTGGTCTCACTCTGCAACATGCATTTTAATTCAAGTTAAGGATATTTATTGTCAACTGCCTTCAGGGACAGATTTAAGTTTGTGTTCATACATCCACTGTTTTTGTGTGTGCATGCATTACTTTCTCACTTCTGGCTACTGAAGTCCTTCATGTATTAAAAGCTTGTGCCGCCCCTGGCTAACGACAACAACAGGGGTGTTGTGTTGAGCTTTTGACATTCCACAGGGACTCCCTGAGGACACACCGGAGGCTCTGTCACTGGACGGCGGCGATAATGGCAGCAACAGCACTGACTACATTTCCTGTTATTGAGATGCAGCAGCAGAGACAAATGGACTGATGTAGATCAAAGTGATAAAAAAAAAATGCTGATGCATTTCTTCAATTCAGTTTTGTTCCTTACGTATGAACCCAAACAAAATTTGTGACGCATTAAAGAATTCTATTTAGATAAAAATGTGGGTTCCTGCCCAGCATAAACTAGCCCAGTCAGCTGTGACGCCTACATTCAAGCTCTTCGCTGACAGAAAACTGGTTCAAATCTTTATTACAAAAGTTTTCTCCAGCAGATTAAAACGAGGCAGCTACCAAGGTGGGTACAAATGTGTACTGCCTAGAATCAAGTTGTGGGCACTGTAAACATAAAAATAAGCCTTGATTTTTTTAAATGGCAATGCAAAATGCACAATTTCCTGGTTGCTTGGCTGCAAACACTCAATTGGCCTTTCTTCTTACAAGTTTTAAGGCACTGACTAGTCTCCAACAGTAAGCCGGGAGAGACGCAAGGGATGGGAATCTTTAAGAACTTCCCAATTTGATTTTAGTTATGATTCAGAAGACTGTGATGCAATTAAAAAACATTTAACTGATGCATCCCTTTGTATCCACAATCACACTTCAAAAAAAAAAAAATTGAGAAAAGAATCTCTCAAACCTAAAAGAAACTAAATATTTGGCTCCACATTGCATTTTCATTCAAACAAGACTTCGGGAACTCAAACGGAGTGAGAATACCGAGTTCAGTAACACGAGATTCTCTGGCGATGAACGTCCCTGCATCTGTTAGAGCTACCTGACCCCCTTCTGCAGGGTTTCCACCTCTTTGTTTTTGGTCTCATTGTAGTGTGGGAATGGTGGCGTTAGCATCTTCAAAAAAGAATGATCATGCTCTAATGTGGCTCTAAAGGCTGAAATAGAAACTGTTGGAGAGTGATTAATGATACAAAATTGAGAGAAAAGGGGCAAATCTTTAGTTGCAGTCTCACTGAATTCTGACTGTTTGCAATCAAGGGACCAGGAAACCGTGTAGGTGTGAACTGTAACTGTATTTTAAGCCACAGACATTATTTTGTCACTCACTACCAGTTCCACTTTCATCGTACCATGTTGCAAACATTTAAAAAAATTCCAGAGACTCCCTCGTAAATACTGATCGCCAACAAGATAACAGCAGTAGCGGCCCAGATGTTACCGTTAGCTTACAGTTTTTCCTCCTCAAGGTGGAAATGTGTGCGCACATACATAAAATGTGGCTCCGGTCAACTTCCTTTGCACAACGGTACATGATTTTAGTAGCATAAAGTGTTCGATTCAAAACGTTTTATGTCTACATCCTACAAGATACCTTCAGATTGAACTCGAAAAGGAAATCTGAGCTGAACTGTTGGGGTTGACTGGTGCCGTCTTTTAATCCATCCGTTTCAGAATGTAGGCATGCAAAAAGTAGTTGATGAAATACTCAAATTATACAAGTTAAGAATGGAAACCTGACCAAAAATTAAAAAAGTATAATCAAAAGCTGATTTATTTTGTCACAAAATGATGAATATCTTCAGCCCTGATCCTTAACTACAGTAACTCATGAGAAGAATTATGTAAAATGATGATGTTCAAAAACTTAAAATGATATTAAAACCAAATCTATGGGAATAATGACTAATATCAGTCATTAAAATAAACCAAACGCATTTTTTCTCTAGGGAAGGTATGCCACATCGCTGAACTAATAAAAGTAAAACTGTAAAACACAAGCTTTCTTCTGCCAAATGATGAGTGACAAATGTGCCCAAATGCTGTTGGCTGTAAGAACACGGAGCTCAAAGAGGGAACATCGAGTGCAGAAGAACAAAAACATCTGAAGGGCATCTGAGATCAAAGCCCAGCTTATGCAAGATGAGTACACTTCTGCTTCAGCAGCGTTAGCCAGAGGTTGAAAAACTTTGATAGCACCTGTCAGCAAGCGGAGAACCTCCCCAGGGTCGAGTGGGGAGCCAGTGCATTTCACATGGACTACAGAAACGTATTCAAAGGCTTAGACAGAAGAATGTAGCCTTCGCTTTTAGACTAAAATTAGAGGAGACGTGACGGTATCCAAATAAATTCAAGTGGAGACAGAGAAGAATTTGTTAAAGCAAAATGTTTAAGTCATTCAAAGCTCAAAAAATAAATTTGTACTTAAGAGACAACTGGCAGAAGAACCTGAGAAAGAATTAAAAAGGCATGTGCAGCAATGATAATATTTACAGCTAACCCTGAAATGATTGCCTAATATAGCAGAAAAACCTGAAAGTAGACAGCTTGAAGAAGCTGCTTCTTGTCAGATTTGAGTATTATGGGATTGTTTCCCCACCAACCACTTTGTGTTTATGCTGTTGAGCTGCAATTGCGACAGAACAGCCATGGAGGAAGTAAGAGAAGGCTTTGTGGGGAGAAGAAGAACCAGTGTGCGTTGTGTCGCACCACTGTCTCCTCAAAAAAATACTGCAGAGAAAGTAACAACTAAAATATTTTCCCTGTTGCGAACATGAAAATAAGTTACAGATAATAACCATGCTGTGTCTTAATTATGTCACAGAAGACAAATGCCCAACTTATGTGTTCCTGTCCCAGTTTAGAAATACCTAGCGCGTTCCAGATGTGACCTAGCTACAAAATCTGTACATCTCCAGCTTTAAAAAAACCATGCAGCGCCGCCTCTCTGTTAGAACAGGTTCGCCTCTTTGGTAGCTTATGTGGACCTGGGTTCAGGTACCAGCTTTTTTATTTATTTATTTATGGACATCTGTTTGCACACTGCTCAGGCTAAGAAGATTTAGTCTCCCTGCATCCTCCCTCTCACCAGCAAAGCTGCTTTCCATTTAAAGAAAACAGTCAGGGTGTGGAATCTTATGCACTAAAACGAGACACGACGGCATACAGAAATGAATTTGAAATATCACTGCAAACTAACAAAACAAATACAGATACTTTAAATAAATCAGCAGAAATATTGGCTGCTTGGACTGAAACTGGTGCTTATAAAATCAGGTTAATTGTGGAACCTATTATCATCTTTGACCACAAAAGCAAATATTATTCCCTGAGGTTCAGACAGTAAGATTACGTTTTTCTCCTCTGAACCCAGTCTGACAAACTCAACCTACAGCTTTCTGTTAAAGGCTGAGCATCAGCGGGACGTGGCCAAGTCGACACCAAAAACAGACAAAGTGAGACTTTAGACTGGAGAATTTAAACGGTGAAGAAGAAAAGCTGCAGAAACATGATGTTAAAAGAGCTGGCTGAAAAAAGAAAGGCGACAAAAATGCAAATGCCTGCTTGATCGTTTCGACACGAGCACTTCAGAGCTTTGCCAAAAGCGTGCAGAGGTGCAGTCAGCTGTAAAACGTCGTGCATGGGGCTGAATATTTTATGCTGCAAATGGACTACAACCACCCCGTCTCTGCAGGATTTCCATTAGACATGGGAGCACCACATGCAGGGTGCAGTGATTCAACATCTTAACTTGCGATAAAAAAAGTTTTCACTGAAAAAGGAAAAGCACAAGACAGGATTTGTGTCGCAGCAGCACTGTAGAGTCCATTTAATTCGAAAACTCAGCTTCATGTAACTGATCAGACATCAGCAACATGAACGGCACAGCAATCGGACTTCAAAGAGAGCAATCTGAAAACATGAGCGACCTTTGTGGCGCCCACTCACCAGAGTTGCATAACTCTGCATCTCATGCATTCACAATTCATGCAGACAGAAAATTGATAGGCGAAGCCACTTACCGCCATCACCAGCTCAAAGGGGTGCTTATACACCCGCACAGGTGACTGATACTTCTGCACCATGATGGGGATTACGGTAACACCGACAACCTGGACAAAAATAAATAAATAAAATCAGAAAAAAAAAACCAGTAGGGGTGTATCTGAATCTTCTTACCACTACAATAAATATTTAGTTACCAAACAAAGCTGCATGGATCTTTAGGGCAGGAGAGTTGTGCGCGCGCTTTTTCTATATATGCGTTTGTATGTGGATAAGTGTATAATAGAGCTTAAATCGATGCCGACGATCATGATAATTTGTCTACATCCATTTTTTTAGTTGACATACGACATGATTCTAAATTTTATTAATACTTCAAATAAAAATATGGTCGCTAGAACTGCTGCGTAGATCAAGCGAGTTCCTGTTGGCTTAAGTTTTCAACAGTCATGGCAGAAAAACGGCAGCGACAGTTTCAGTTTTAAACGTTTTCAAACGGTGGAGGGATGTAAAGTTTGGAAACTAGCTGTAAGATCTTGAAATATTTTTACCCCAACAGCAGCAGCAGAGGAGCGATGCACCGAGATTGATGAAAAAACAACAACTGTACAACCGTATATTTATTTTAGTTGCTAAATTTACTTTATAAAGTTCAAGTTCACTACATTTTCCAGTGTTACATGTTTGAGGAAACTCTACCTGGGCACACGTCGGATAACCCAGTGTGGGTGTTGTATAAAGTTTTGTACCTCCATTTTTGACCATGCTTCCTTGCAAACCATATTAATTTTACTTTTGTCCGTTTTAAAACCATCAACATGTCAACGTTTTAATCACATTTAAATGTGCTGATAATGTTAATATCTAAACAAATATTTTCATCTGACAAATTTACATACCCTCTTATTACTTAAATACAAAGTCGTGCGAGTAAATTCCTGCAAAAGAAGGATTTCTCAGTTTTTAATTAATAAGTTATTTATTTTTTTTGTCACACTGCAGTTGGTTTTCCAAATCTAAATTTTGGACTTTAAATGGCAAATTTTGTTGGTATTATTTTGTGCCGTAGTTGATCATTAAACATTAAAATTGTTGACTGAAATTTGAGTCATCAAAATAAATAAAAACCTGTATTAGTGGCAGCTCTAGTGTGCGAGAATGATCAATGGATGCAGCACTTCCCGCTCATTCATAAAGAACGACACCACTGCAAAGGCTTTTCGTTGGCAACTACTGGGCAGAAAACTCGGCTACACTCAGCTGAGCACCAGTCGCTCCAGAAAATGATTAAGACAGCAGGTTTTGTTCAGTATGTAAAATTTAAACAACACAAACCACATGCTGCAGCTTTTCAAAAGAACCGAGCGCTTTTCTCTAGCCTCTTTTCCACCTCCAGATGAGGAAAAAAAAAATACACAAGAGCATAACAGACTGTTCCAGATGTTGAATCAAACACGTCACGCCAAAGGATTTTTGTTGTTTTGTTCACGTGCCACGTTTAGCTCATATTGCACTGTAATATTTGCTCAGCGTGCTCTTACATGTATGAGCGTGTGTTTGCAGCGATGCAGAGGGAGCTTGTCTGCAAGGATGGGTGGGAGCTAAAAGGGATCAAAACAGAGATTCTGAGGAGCAAAACAAAACCCAGACAAAACCAGAAACACTAAAAAAAAACTAAAACTAAAAAAACCAGACTCCGTTTTATTACATCTACTGAAATGAGCTTTGATTTTGTTGTTACATCTTCTGTTGTGATATATTCTTTTTAAATTTACTGATTTGTAGTTGTGTTTTTGGCTTTGTCCAGTTTTGCTCCTTCAGGCTGACAGACCTGAACAGGCAGTCTATAATAACCAGTCTAGGTCAGTCTAAATACTAACACGTCTCCACAGCATCCCTTCATAAACAACACTTTACTACTGCAGTACATAATTACCATCGTGATCCAGGACCAGTCAGCAACTTCAAAAACATGGCAGAAGAAAAACTGTTACCTCAGTGCGAGTTAAGATGATTCAATCAGCCCGTTTCAACAATTTCTGATCATGCTGTCAAAGATTTAGGTCATTGAAAGCTTCAGTTTCATTATTCTTACTGTTCCTTCAAGTACTTGTTGACATTTCACTCATGCTGGGGACACACTATTTGCTTGGTGTACTAATAATGGTGAGCATCACATGAACAAATGTTTATTTAGTTTCATCTTTCTATACATTTCCATCCATTACCTACAACAGCTTTGCTACTGAGAAGACTTTTAAAAAGCCCCATTAAAACATACTCCTGGCAAAGTACGGAATAAACATGTAAGAATTTTTGAACGAGTTACTCCCTTAAGATATATACCATATACCAAGATACCATTCTGAATTGAGGGTCCACAACGTAAACAAAGCTGAATCTACAAAAAACACATGGAAGCTGATCGACAAACATTAGGCTTCTTGCAGTCAGCAAAGGTAAATAACTGACGTAATTAGACCACCTCAGAAATTCTAGAAATAAAGTTATGTAGGTGGAAAAATAAAAGGGAAGCTGCAGATGAAGGAAACGGTGCAGTGACATAAAGATGGAGCTCAGCGTTCAAACGCTGCTTTATCAAAACCTCTTATACACTGCCTGACCAAAAAAAAAAAAAAAAAAGTCGCCACCTGGATTTACCTAAGCAAATAGGTCCGAGCCTCCGTCCTATTGGATAATTACTGCATGGGTGATTATCTTTTAGCTGCAACAAGTTATTTAACCCCAACTGGTGCAATGAGTTGCTTCTCAATTCTTAAACAACCGTGTTGAAAGACACGTCACGCGGTCGTGGAAAAGACGTCCGTCTGTTTGAGAAGGGTCAAATCATCGGCATCAAGCAGAGAAAACATCTAAGGAGATTGCAGAAACTACTAAAACTGGGTTTAGAATTGTCCAACGCATTATTAAAAACTGGAAAGATAGTGGAGACCCATCGTCTTCGAGGAAGAAATGTAGCCGGAAACAAATCCTGAATGATTGTGATCAGTGATCACTTAAAACGTTTGGTGAAATCAAATCGAAGAACAACAGTAGCACTCAGGGCTGTGTTTAATAGTGAAAGTAAAAGCATTTCCACGTGCGCACTGTGAAGGGAACTCAAGGAATTGGGACTGAACAGCTGTGCAGCCTTAAGAAAACCATTAATCAGTGAAGCTAACCGGAAAAAAAAGGGGTGCACTGATTGCAGTTTTCTGGCAGATCACAGATTTCTAAAAAGTCTGACCTGCCGATACCGATTTTGTTGTATAAGCAACACTGTCAGGTGTTATAAGGTCACAGTGCACCTTCAATTTTCCAATATTATTTTATTGAAAAAACACACCCTTGAACAATATCCTAGAAACAATAAAAAGCTTGTTTTAACTAGCCACAAGGTACTACTCTGAAATATAAATGATGTTCAGACAATTGTTGTTTAAAAACCAAACAAAAAAAATTGATAAAATCTGTTTCTTATGCAAGTATTGGCCGATTTCCCCAAATTAAGGAAATCAGGGCCAATAAATCGGTGCACCCCTAGAAAAAAAGGCTTCAATTTGCTAGGGAGCATAAAGATTGGACTCTAGAGCAATGGAAGAAGGTCATGTGGTCTGATGAGTCCAGATTGACCCTGTTCCAGAGTGATGGGTGCATCAGGGTAATAGGAGAGGCAGGTGAAGCATGCCTAGTCATCAATGCAAGAACTTGGTGAAAAATTAATGCAACACTGGATGGAAATAGATCGTGACATTGCAGAAGCTTATCAAAACAATGACACAGCGAATGCATGCTGTAATTAAAACTAAAGGTGGTCCAACGGAATATTAGCGAGTGACCTTAGTTTTTGGTGGCAACCTTTTTTTTGGCCAGGCAGTGTATTTCATACTAACATACCTTCTTATCTTAACCTTATACTTGACATATGCAAATACCTACCAAAACATCTGTCAAGACTTCAACCCAAATGGCTCTTGCATCGTTGACCTACTTTTCAGTCACCAGATGTTTCCATAGTTTGCACAAATTTCTCATTTCAGAACATATTTACCAATGATATGGGAAAATATTGCGTGGATTTTTATTTATCTATTTTGCCCAGTCTTCGTGACTATTGCCTTTAGGCTGACGATATCCACCAACTCAATTTGCAGAGTCGCTGAGTGAACAAATGCTTGGGACTTTCTGCCGTATCATGTGTTGCTATCACATAACAGAAGCACAAGCGTCCCCTTTGTTGACGCAGAAATGAGAAACGCTTCTTTGAAAAGTGTAAGTGCTAACCTTGCTGAGAGGACAGACGTTCGTTCTGGACACGAACGTCTTCAAGCTCTAGCTGATGGGACAAATTTGAGAATGAAAAAAGTTGATTAAGCAGAAAAACTAAACTTTTCTGCTTTGAAAGAAGCGAATACAACTTTGAAGTTAAAAAAAAAAAAAAGTCAGGATTTGGAAAAAAATAAAACTGATTCTTCTTTACATTCATATAGTGACAGACCTTTTCTTGCACTAACCAGAGATAAAAATCAAGAGAGAGAGAAGGCAGAAAAGTTCTGTTTATTCTTATGTTTCCAGGAACGCTGGTGTTTTCTGATTAATCTGCGTTTTGATTTTTGGCATGCTTTTTGAAAATGTATTCTGCGTTTTTAAAAAAGGAAGAACGGGATTGGTTATTTAATGTGTTTATTTAGAAAAAAAAGAAACACAAACAGAGCTTTGATGCGCAGTTTGCACAAACCATCCTGCAATGATTTCGTTTCCAATCGTTTAAATCCGTCTTTAAATCATACATCCTCCAAAATGACCCACAAAAGCGTTAAAAAAAAAAAAACCTCATTTGAATAAATGATGTTAAATTCACTTCGAAATATAATTTCCCCACACAGATTTAGTTTTTCACCTGCACTTCCTGACAAGGCAGTAAATTATTGTTCAGTGTGAACGATGAAAAATGTCAAAACGAAAACACGGCTGATTAAATCTTACTTAAAAACACCGACCTTCGCATTAAACTTATAAAACGTATGATCGTATTTGTTAAATATTGCAGTATTTTACAAAAGGCGTTAACATAGTACGACAAAACCCTTACATGGAAGGTTTTCATGCCTATAATTATCACAAAAAATTGGGTCACTTCACTTGTTAGCTAAAACATTTTTTTAGCCCGTAAGCTAGCGCTAAATTCACAAAAAAACGCTATTTTTTGAAGCAGCTCTTGTATCGAGTACTTACCAGTGACTCTGAGAGCAAAAACAAACGTGGACTTGTTCGGTTTGGTCAGTGGTTGCTTCTGGAAGGACAACCCGTGTGAATTCCTGCCATTCCGCTCCTCCTCGGTGCCTCACTTCGCCGGCTCCGGTGGCTGTTAGCTTTGTTATGCTAACTGTAGCAGGAACGTGTAGCCATGAAGCTAACCGTGGGGGTTAGGCTCTCCCTACAAAACGAACAGCTGTTAAAAATAAAATATAAATAAGTATCTCAAACAGCCCACAGTTGAGTTGGTCCTCCTCCTGATGAAGTGCGGAGCTCTCAGGAGGACGGCGGCTGTTTCTGCCTCCCCTCCCCGCTCCGCTCCGTTCGCTTGCTTCTGTTAGCTCCGGTTTTTTCCACTCCTCCGTGATGCGTTCAGGGACACTCCCTGCAGCCTCATTGAAGGACTAACAGCAGGGGACAGGCTGAAACTAATGATCATCCCAAAACTAAATTAGACGCAAAGGTCAAAGAACATCCCGTGATGGATTCAGCTGCTGATAAAAATAAAATTAAACAAATAAATCTGGGAACAAGTTCTTTGCAGTTTTATTCTTATGCAACCAGCTCTGCCGCAGATTAATATCGTATGTTTCCAGCGCAGTCGTGTTAAAAGCTGTAAATCCAGATGTCGCAGATGTACAGCCCGCATAGGAATCTGCAGCTGGCATTTGATTAAAAAAGGACACTTAAAATTAGTTTAATACATTTAAAACATAGACATTTTCTTGCGCGCACATTGCCAGAGGCGCCACTAGGAACTCCAGGGACCACCGGTATGACTGTTGCCCCCCTCTCATGACTCTCATGAGTCCTTAGTTTTATGGGCATTTTTTTTAATCTAGCTTTTTCAGAACTATAATCATATAAATAAAAACATTATTTATGAACAATTAGCAGTTTCATACTAAAATAAAAAAATGTTTTATTAAAAAGATTAAACACTAAAAAGCTAGTCTCTAAATAATAGCATTAGGCCATTAGGTTTAAAAATGGTAAGAAGTTGTGTTGCCTTGTAAAATGTGTGAAAGATGAACGCTGAATAACTGATACTGACTTGTTGAAGCAAAAAGTTGTTAAAGCTAAAACAAAAACAAAATGTTATACCAACTACAAGGAGCAACTTGCTAAAAGAAGCAAACTGCTAGCTAAAAATAAGCAAAACATTAATTCAAGACAGCAAAATGCTAGCTAAATGCTAAATGTAGAAACATACTAGCAAAAAGCAGCAGATGTTAGAATAGCAAACTGCTAACTAAAAATGTCAAAAATCTAACCAGAAGCTAAATGACTAGCTAGGAGCTGTAAGTAACAAAAGGCTTAGAATAGTATCAAAAGGATAGCTTAAAATTTAAAGCTGCCAAATGATAGCTAATGGTAGCTAAGAGCAAATTAGATCAAGTATGCTGAAGCACATTTCAACGAGAACATTGTTTTTTCAAGAAAGTGAAAAGCTCCAATTGTATTTCTATGAGGAAATATTCGTAAATCAAGTAAAATACTTTGAAAAGTATTAAAGTTACAAAAACCAGGAGTCGTTGTGCCCATCTCCTGAATGAACTGATTGTTGGTATATAGCTCAAAGTGTGCAGAAGATGCGTTTCAGAAAATGCATGGAAAAATTAAAACAGGAAAAATGAACATGTAGCGTGAATGCTGATTCAGTGTTCGGATGGAAAAATCTCAAAAATTCATTTATTTTATTTATTTATGTGGATCACTTCAATTTGACTCTGCTCCTTTTAGTAAAATCAACTATAATGTTAAAATAATTTAAAAAAAAAATACTATATCAGAAGAAATTCCCAAACTTTCATAGTGATATTTTCTTATTAGCCCATATTTACCAACAGGATAATGTTCTGGTTTCTGGGTTTGCTGCCACCCACGTGATTAAAAGTGACCCCCCCACCTGGCTCCCCCTTCATTTTCTCTAGAGGAGGCCTCATCGTATCATGAAGTTGGGAAATCACTGAACGAGAAGCAACGAGTCTCAGCTGTAAGATGAGCGCGCGAGTGCCGGATGAGTAACGGGACACTTGGCGACTAAATGTCCCGAGCAGCTGTGCGCGGCTTCGGCGTGCGTTCGTGCTCTGCGGAGCTCACATGCACCTCAGCTGAAAAGCAGCTGACGGCAGACCGTTCAGAAGGCAACGAGGCCGAACGGAGCTCAGAATAAACGTCTACGACCAAACCAAACAAAATCAGGTGTTTCAAGGGGCAGAGCGGACTCTAAAACTTCAGAATTAAAAAAGTGATTTGCAGGAGGAGGAAAAACTCCCAGGGGTGTGGGTAAAAAGTCCTCCGGAAGATGAAAGAGGTAAAAAAAAAATTATATACTGAATTGTCCTGAAACAAAAAGGGCAAACTGCAGGTTAGAAAGTTTCCAGATAAAAAACACTTAAGTGTATTTATACAACCTAACCAAACTGCCCATATCAAACTTAAAGGACAGTCAGATCATGACGTAAAGAAAATATACGGTGTTGGTTCAACATGAGGGTGTTTTATCGGCCGCACCTTCAGGTGAAGGTCAAAGGTCTTCCATGTGCATCACAACCCGCCTGCACTGAGACCTCCCCAACACTGAATTCTTTTCATGTTGACCTGCGCTTTAACGTCTTGGCATTGATTTTTTTTAATGATCAAATATTCCAGTTTGGTCCAGTTCATGGAGTTGCTTGGAAAGACTCAGTCTGGTGGTGCAGTTGTTGTCTCTCAGTGAGAAGGTCGCAGGTACAAATCCCGATCCGGGGCCTTTCTGGGTAGTTTGCATGTTCTCTCCGTGCTGCGTAGGTTTTCTTTCACAGACCAAAAACATGCATGTTAGGCTGACTGGTTTAAATTGTCCCTAGAGGTGAGAGAGAGAGAATGAATGGTTGCTTGTCTCTGTGTCCCTGTGATGGACTGGAGACCTGTCCAGGGTGTCCCCGCCTCTCGCACAGTGACAGCTGGACATGAGCACTAGTGACCCAAAAAGGAAGAAGTGGGTAAACATCATAGATGTTATTTTTTTTGTGTGTCGTTTGTTCCTCACTTTCCTGTGTTTGTCACTCCCAGCCTGCCGCACCCGTCTACACCTGCTCCGTGTTTCACCTGCATCCACCTCCCCCATGAGTCCGTAGGACCTTCCAGTCTTCGTTCATCCTTCAGGGGAGCATTTCGTGTTCTCGCACCACCTCCGGTTCTCCTCGAACCTCCTCGTGACTTCCTGCGTCAGATCTGATTTTTTTTTTTCCTCCTGTAAGTTTATTCTCACATGACAGCCTCGGTTTCTGGTCAAATAAAGTTCGGTTTAGCTCCTCCGGTCAGTCTGCGTGACTTCAATGTGTCTAAAACCGTGGCAGCTTCTGAGTCTGTGCTCAGTGTTTCCTCTCACAGTCCAACAACTTACATGTTACCTTTTTTTTTTTGGTAAATGGTCCACATTTTGTGCATTGTTAACCTTATCCAAGGGTTTGCAAAGTGCCCAGAGACTCTTTGGCACGCTGCAGGGGCTCAAACTCTCCTCTGCCTGAAGGACGACCTTCCTACCACTTGGATAAACCACCTTAAAGGAGCATGAGTGCAGGGACCAGTTCCTGAACTGGCTGTGAATGTGAACACAATAAATAAGTTGTGATGATTGAACAGTTGTTTGCATGTTGTGTAGAAGGCTCACACGCTGGTTGAGTTGATGCTTTGTTGCCATCTGGTGGAGGAGAACAAAAATCTCTGCAAAGAGGGTTCAGAATCAGAATTGTTTCTGACCAAATGTGAGACAAACAAGGACTTTGTCTCTGGCTGGTGGCGTCTCTCAAGTAGTCCTAAACAATTTGACATACTTATAAAGCTCAAAATACGAGCAGCGTGTTTAGGAGGAGTCCATGAAGCTTTCCTCGGTGTATTAAAGCCGTACATCGTTTTAAAGTATTAAATAGTTTGTTGGCTTCCAGGAATCCAGAAGAGACCCAAACATTTATGTGTGAAACAACCCATTTAACATTTTCTTTGTTCAGCTTTGCATTAACATAAAATACAAAACTTTTTTTTTTTTTTTTACTCAACCAGAGTTCATTAAATCAAGACAAAAACGTAACCTCCTGTGGTTCCATACAGTTCATATCATTTTTTTAAAAGAACAATCAGAACTAAATGTGTAGATTAAGCTTCAAGTTTACTTTGACAAGAGAAACGAATGTTTTGGTTCTTCCATCAGTGGACCAGCGTTTCAGCGCGTTTCCACCAGATTTCAGCTGATGTGAGCTGTGCCATCATGGGAACCAGAACTATCCTGCAGGTGTGTTTGAACCGAGAGCAGCACGAGAGCAGGAAGTGGTTTTCAGTCTATCAGAGCGATCTGGGCAGGAAGTGCAGCGCTGCTTTCACAGGAAACTGATTTCAACAGTCAACAGGCCTCACAGCCACAGGTAGCCCCTGAACTGCGGAGCCGAACGGACGCAGGCGGTCCGGTTCTGGATGGTTCTGTTTGTGAATGTGGTCAAACTTAATGAACACCACAAATACACATTTCACAGGTCAGAAAAAAGCTAATTATCTCTTTAAATCGTTGTAAAAATGAACATATATACACAAAGACTTACATTTCAGAACTTAATTTGTTTGGTTTTAACTTGAGAAAAATACTTTTTGTAAAAAATAACAATAATCAGTGAATACACTGAAAACGAATGGCAAAAGCTAAAAGAAGCAGAGCACTAGCAAAAAAGCTAAAAGGAGCAAAATTCTAACTAAAAGCTAAAACAAATGGAAAAATCACAAACATGAGCAAAATACAAACAAAAAGCTAAAAGTTGACAAGCTTTATTTAAACGCAAAAAGTAACAAAAGTGGGAAAAACACAAGCTTAAAGTAGCAAAAGGCTAGCTAAATGTAGCAGCTCGAAGCTTAAAGCAACTAAAGGTTTGCAAATAAAAACTAGAACTATTAAAATGCTAGCTAAAAGGCCAAAGGTTGGCTGAAAAATAAAAGTAGCAAAAAGCTACTTAAAAAAGCTTAAGTTGCAAACTAGTGGCAAAAAACTAGCTTAAAGCTAAAAGTATCAAATGCTAGCAATAAAAAGTAAAGGAAAAGTAACAAAATGCTGACTAAAATTTAAAAGCAACAAAACAAAATAAAAAAAAGTATCTGACAGGTAAATGGCAGAAGGCTAGCTAAAAGCTATAAATAGCAAAAGGCTAGCTTAATGCAGCAGAGCAATAGGTAAAAGTAGCAAAAAGTAGAATGGTAGCTAAAACCACATACAAGCCACTTTTTATTTCTGTTTTGTTGATTTGGAAACAAACAATTGACACAAAAGAAGAACAGGAAGAGA